AATCGTAGAAATATGAAAATATGCTAATTATGAAGCTATTGAAGATTCCAGCATTTTGAAGGGTTTGAGAAAGCTCATTTAAGTGCTCAAAGGAAGTGTTTATAAAGTTCGATGATGTTTGTGTTCTAGGGATAAAAACGAATAGCGGGTAATGTCGGACGCATTGAAGCAGGACAGTAAAAGATGTAGGTCTTTTCTTTAATACACTCTGTCACAAAAAAATATATGCACCCAAAAGGAAACGAACTACTATCACGAAACTTGACATGTAATGTAGTGTATGAGAAGATAAACAAATGAGTACAAATTCAGAACAAAAGATGGCTTTATTAAGAAGTTATGGCAGTGAGAAGGTTACAAATCGGTAATTAGTATAGCAATTCGTTTCCAAATCGACAAATTCGTTTGGATAGCCCTACGGCACGAGCGATCATCCCTGTAAGCTCTCCTACTGCGCATCTCATATGCGCATAGCGCGCTTACCTTGTAAGGATCCTAAGTTTTACTAACGTTTATTTTATTTTAAATCTTTACTATCACTTCTTATTTTCTACTTCCGGCCAGAATTAAAAGCTTTAACTTATTTATGCGAATTTGTCTTGCTAACGCCAAGTACTTAAGTTGTGGCTTTTTGCCAAGCAAGAGAGAAAGGAAGGAGTTATTGGAAGCAGGCCGCTTGCCATAGTAGTTTTACTCGGTTGCTGGTTGCCTTCAAGGCCAGAGGTTTAGTCCTCTTGATTGATAATTTCAAACGTATCGTAGTTTTAGCAGCTCTCTGTACTACATACGGATTTTTGTTAAATAACGGCCAATCTTAAAGTTAGGCACTTGTATATTAATCCAAAGTTAGTTTTAGTTAGAGTTTTAGTTAGTATTTTTATATTCTTACGTTCAGACCACAAGTGGTTGGTCTCTGTATTCCGAAGTTCCGGAAATCGCTGTAAGGATAGAAAAATAAAGGGTTTCGTATACCCTTCCTGTGTATATTGTCTACTTCACAATTTATTGAACATAGCTTGAGTAAGCTCCCTGTTCCGAGTCAGGACAGTTCATGCTTCCAAAGCAAGTAAAGAGGAATACAAGTCCTGATAACCTTGTCTCATTGGCGTTGAAATTTAAAGCATTTACATATATCTTACCAGAATACATTCCTCCCGAGTTTCGTGTTGTGGATCGATTTCTTCTGGGTGCATATTTTTTTGTGGTTTGTAATTCATGACTGAAGACTTCTGCCTCGTCGACTAAGGGATTACCACCAGTTGTGGTAATCCCTTAGTGTGGCATATTGCTACAGTAACTAAGCTGAATCGACGGTTTCTGTCTATAACTGCATGATTGCAGCATGATAGTCACTTGACAGTTCCTACCAGTTCTATACATTGCAGCAGTTGATCTTGATTTCCTCCTTAGGGATGATAATGCCCGTTCTAATCCAGGAAATATCACTGGCTGGCACTGGCAACAACGCAATCCATTATACTGCAAAAGTTTCAAATGATAATCATGTTCTCCAAATTTATTTTATCGGCACCACGCCAAAACCATTAATTTGAAAAATCGTTTCTATATTAAGGTTCTTTTGACAAAGACATCTGTACAAAAATCCTTGTACATGCGTACTTTACATTTACGCCACCGAGACGACCTCCGACCCAGGCGGGAATTTGAGAATTGTTAAATCTCAGCGCACAGAACCATAATATCTGTGATATCACAGTCCTTGCTGATGATAGCAGACCAGATGCTAATTGATGCTATGTTGAACTGACATAGTTTACAAAGAAATGTTACAATTATTAAATTCATGTGTATTACAAAGAAATATGTCCGTTGCATTTAGAACAGTAGACATATTATATATATACAAGCAAGGAATAATTACACAAATACATTATACATGCACATCTATAAAAATGCATTTAAATCATGGTACTAATTAGGGATATAATGAGAGTATGCACACACATACTGCAGTATATAAAGGTGAACTTAAGTCAATGGATGAGTAATACGTTCCACTGACACACACTTCATCCATACATACCCTGGTACACCTATGTGTGGGTTACACTTACAAGAAATGCATACATGCATACCTACACCTAAATTTTCTAAGCTCATATATTCTAAATAGCAGTAAAAATTTAAAAATAGTAATACATGCACATAAATACACTAGTCTCACATATTCTAGATTACACATATACATACGTGAATTTAACAAATATTCTCTATTCGTATAAAGCAAATTTAAATTCAAATTTAATTAAGAAATTTTAATTGCAAAGAAATAATAATAATTATTTATATATATCACGCACGCACATTCTGAAATACAACAAAAAAGAATGGAATAAAGGAAATATTATCTGAAGTGTTATACATATAACAGTACAATGGTGCAAAGAAAGAACTGTAACAAGTTCCGAAACATATATGAGCATAGGAAAACAGTGAAGTAAAACCGTTCAGTGCGTAGACTAAGTGTTATTGATAAAAGAGTACCATAGTAAGTTACGTAAGTCCTGGGCAGAACTTCAGTCTTAACCTAGAAGAAACTAGAAGCAGTACTGATGGTCTGGGCTATTTTCTTCTAAAGCTGTAGGATTATTTTTTGAGTTTTTAGTCCAAGCGGAAATGTGAATATAATATACAGGATGATTATAATTAAAGTTGCGATTTCAAAACGCTCTAACTTTAAAACTACAGGTCAGAATGACTTGATATTTTACCAGAACAGTCCTGAGATAATGGAATTTTGTTTGGAGAAGGAAAAAAAAAAATAGTTCGAAAATTTATCAATAAATGGCCCTGTCAGTGTTCACATTCCTGTTGTGGATGTATAGCCGAAAGGAAACAATAGACTCCAAGGGTTTTCGACAATTTTATTAGTGAAAAGACAGAATATGTATTTACAGAGAAAACAGCGATAGTTACAAGAGAAGCTTCACGAAACAAACACCTTATGGATGATTAACGCATAAGTTGTTCGATATGCTCTCCACCATGTTCTGCTGCTAATTGGAAGCGCAAAACTTCATGTTCCACAACAGATCGGAGGGTATCTGTGCTGATGCTATGAATGTGGTGCGTGATGCTTGCATTCAAGTCGGCCAGATTTGCAATTCGACCACTGTAAACAACATCCTTCAGATAGCCCCAAAGCGAAAAGTTACGTTGGTTTAAGTCGGGGAAAGTGTGGCAGCCACGCTGTTGGAAAATGGCGGCTTATGATTCTATCATCTCCGAAATGAGCGATCAGCAGCTGCTTGACACGAGTAGCAGTGTGCGGAGGAGCGCCAATCTTGCATGAATTTCGTGCTATCCGGACATTGACGTTGCTAAAATGCGGGAAGGACATGGTTACGGAAAAGTGCTTCATACCGCTTGCCAGTAACGACGCAGGTAACGGGACCCGCAGGCATCACCTCCTAGAAGAAGAACGGGCCGAAGACAATCGCTACCGTTATTTTGCACCACACAGTGACTTTTTCAGAGTGAAGCGGTAATGGTCTGTACTGGGAACGGATTCGCGGTCGTCCGTATCCTGCAATTTTGCGTATTTACAGAACCTTACAAATAAAAATGAGCTTCGTCAGACCACAGAATGTTCCAAGGCCATTCATTATCCATATCCATCCGGGTAAGAAATTGTAGTGTAAATGATTCACATGTTTCCAGATAGCAAATCTGTCAAAGTGGATGAGGATTTTCCGAAAGCTCATTTTCAGAAAAAAGCACAATCGATAGCAAAGCAAGAACCAGTTCTCACCAATATCATTATATGCCGCCATGTTAATTTTCCACTGCTGTACAGTTTTAGTCGAGAAAATGTTGCACAATTCGCCTTGAACCAAAATAAGCGAAAAATCGTTGTGCATCTCAGATTCGCGAAAATTTTGGGGGTATCATATTTCAACGAAAATAACCATTTTGACCGCCATCGAATGCAATTTAACAATGTTTTTGCTCGACATCTTTACGTAAGGACAGAATAAAGGACTCTTTGTTCCCAAGCGAGTTGCAAAGAGTATTTAAAAATTGCTTCAGAAGAGATTTTTTCGCGACGTCTGTACGTATCTCGCATAACTCAAAAACGAGTAGCCTCAGAACGTTGAAATTTTGTATATAGGACTGCTATAACATGTAGTTGTGTACCTGGCCTTTTTGGTTGCAATGAGCTGAACCAAATATATGTATAACCACTTTGTTACCCGATTTTGTGAGCTCAGTTTTTTTTAATTCTTATATGTTCGTAAATCATGCAATTTTTGCTTTAAAAATGATTGAACTATGTTGTTTTTATCTTCCGATTAAAGTTTTCATGCCCTTAGTTAATCTCCATGCATTAGGCGTAGAACTATCAACAGTTTAAAAGTTGTTTGAATGCGGTTAGCCTTATTTTTTTTACCATAGCAGCCATGTTTGTTTACGTTTGAGACATAGCAGAACAGTGAATTAAGTCAGTTTCTGCACTTTCTGTGTTTTTTTGCCAAATGGGACCAAAAGTAAACTTTCAGTTTTGTGCACTGAAAAATCTGCCTTCTTGCCCGCTGGCCGAATTGCTTGTTTTTGCATAGAAACTCTAATTTTAATTGTAAAAATCTTTTTTTATTTGTTTTAACTGTATTTGGTGTTTTATGTTTTTCTGTATTTGTAAATTTTTAATAAAGATATTTTGAAGTTTTGTATTTTTGCCTTTCCACGAAGTGAGAACTGAATTAATTGAATAAGAAATATCCCTGTAATGAAATTCGAGGAAATAAGTTTGAATGAAATGCATCAAAAAATATGTATAACTTAATATTCCGTACAAGGAAGTCATGTGGTGTACACATAAGATTTTTTTTAATTACGTGTTCGAAATAATAAAAAAAAATTAATGAAATTAAAAAAAAAAATGGTAAAAAATTTTACTGTTTATTTTTAATGAATAAAGATATATGATAATTTATTAAAGTATTTTTAGCTATAGCAAATTAACACTTTAATTGTTGCAGGTGCAGCATGTGAAAGACATTCTGCCAAATGCCAATGGTGAAGTATTAGTCACATGCATCGGCTTGACATCTGGAGTGGGAAGAATCATTTTCGGAAAACTAGCAGATTTTCCGGCTGTGAACAGAATCATGTTGCAACAGGTTTATAAACTTTTCACTTCTCTCTTCTTCCATTTTGTATTTCAGTTGAATATAAGCACTTTAAAAGGAAATTTATTTTGCAATTATAATTTTGTAAGTAATAGTTTTTAAAGGTTAAAAAACCAAATAAAACATTGAATTACTGAAATACGTAGAGGGTTACCTCCTCAGATGGTAATTAGCAGAGTTTGCTTCTAGGGTCGTGGAACCTCTGTGGCTGTATGGAGGCACTTCGGATTGAAAATTATTTTGAGAGGCTGCTACGGTCGGAAAGCTACATTGTTATTGTTTTGGTAGCTAAAATAGTTAAGGTGCACAAATTAAAAGCTTTGATTATAATTCTTCCAGATATTCAGACATAACCCAAATTCTGATGGTTAATTGCAATTTTGATTATTACGATGGTGACCGTAGGAAACAGATAAAGAAGATACACATATAAATTACAAATATTCATTTTCAATATTTTCCTGAGAGTTTTAATTTTTTAAATACAAATATAGCACATGCTGATATGGTATTAAATTCCTTAGAAAGATATTAAGTTTAAATAAAGCAGAGTTTTAATTAGCAGAGTTTGCTTCTAGGGTCGTGGAACCTCTGTGGCTGTATGGAGGCACTTCGGATTGAAAATTATTTTGAGAGGCTGCTACGGTCGGAAAGCTACATTGTTTTGGTAGCTAAAATAGTTAAGGTGCACAAATTAAAAGCTTTGATTATAATTCTTCCAGATATTCAGACATAACCCAAATTCTGATGGTTAATTGCAATTTTGATTATTACGATGGTGACCGTAGGAAACAGATAAAGAAGATACACATATAAATTACAAATATTCATTTTCAATATTTTCCTGAGAGTTTTAATTTTTTAAATACAAATATAGCACATGCTGATATGGTATTAAATTCCTTAGAAAGATATTAAGTTTAAATAAAGCATACAAATCAAATTTACTATTCTAATTCGTAATAAAGATAGGGAAAAAAATCTGAGTTAGAATTAAATGTAAGTTCGTCTTCAAATATTATTACAAAATCATCACTACCCACTGACGGAAGGTGATGAGTAATTACATGGGCTGATGTCTAGAGTTTTGACAGAGTTACATTAATTTTTTTCGGGGTTTTAAATTTGCATCTCCTTTCCAAAAATTGACCTGACAAGTAGAAAATGAATACATAAAACTAACCAGTGGATTTCCTAATTCAAAGCACACTTAAGTTCATCAGGCTCGAAACCTGTTGGAAAGTCTTCTCTCGAGGCAGAAGTATCCGAAGATGCACGTTCAAATCAGGGCGGTAAAAAGTAAATCCAAGCTATCGGAATCAAAGAAAGCAGTCAAGCAATCTCTGAATAAGACAGTGTAAACAGAATCCAGAATATAATCCATGAAGACAGTCAAGAAACAGTCTCTTCTTAAAAGTCAGCAAACGCGAACATTTTTTCAACATCTGAGACAGGAACTCTTAAACTATTCGTCCCTTCTAAATAATAGTAACCAGGAACATCAGATCATTTTTGCTCTCCTCACTTTAAAAAGTATTCAAGAATTCTTCTATTTATCTCTTTACCTAATTATTAATTAAAAGTCACTTGTGATTTAAGCGACCGAATTTCAAAGTTCGAAATTTGAATGCTATGTATATAATTTTTTAATTATTTTTTTACAGATAAATTATTTTTATTATTACTGTTTTCGTGGTAGAGGTGGTATATAGGTCAAATATACGTGCATATATGTATATCAAAATAAATAATTTTGCTTCATTTTTTAAGTGATACAGTACAAAGTCTTTAATCTGGACGTCCATAATCCGGACCTCAAAGCTACAAACTTTCTACGCATGCGTAAACGCATTATGCGTTTACGCATTTGCATAATACGTTTACTCATGTGCGTTTAATGTATAACGGACGGTATAAGCTAGGCTAAAATTATTTAATTATCTATTTCAGTTAATGTTGCAGATTGCGTTGTTCCTTAATCTTCTAATTGGATCCGGCTTATTATTTTTTGCAGACTGTTAAAGCAATTTTATAAAAAGTAAGCTTGAACTTTCGATTATGTCAAGAAGAGTTTCCGATTCTGGAGCTGCCAAAGGATCTACAAAGCGAAAGCATGTTTCGATGTCCATCAAACAAAAAGTGGAATTGCTGCAAAAAATGGATAAAGGCATGAATAAAGTGACAGAGAGGTTAGTGAAAACGAAAAATTTCGATTGACAAGTTAATCGGTATTCTAAGCACAGCAATTACAGGACTTGAACAGCGGAACTTTGTAACTGAACAAGAAATTATGTATGTTTATAGAATTAAAGAGAAAGTATTAGCACATAAAACGAAGCAACTTAAACAGCTTACATTGAAAGAAATGTTTAATAAAGTAAACAAATAAATATTAAGCCTTTTTTTTTTTTTTTTTTTTTTTTTTTTTTTTTTTTTTTTTTTGTAAATTTGGATACCCTTTACATCATAATTGCTCTTTATTTCATAAATTACAGTTTCATATTTTTAATTTTATAATTTCTGCATGCCAGCTTACCAGATTTAAATTGATGATCTATAATCCGGAATCGCCGAAGTTCCGACGAGTCTGGATTAAAGACTTTGTACTTTATATACTATTTTTACGATAAATAAAAACTCGGTATTCGTTTTTAAATGAAATATCTGGTTGTAACAAACTTTTCTGCCCAAAATCGTTCTTAATAAAGTGAGGAAAAAAATATGAAAGTAGTATCTTTAGTGTGGGTAGGAAAATCACCACCAAAATCTATGATTTTCTGCCAAAGTTTTCGCAGCATTTCAAAGCCCTATGGCCCAAAAACTTGGCGGTAGAGATTCCAAAAACAGATCAACGTCATTTCGGACGTACTGCGCAGAATAGAAAATGGTACCAGCATGATGTAGTTGCAGGTGTAAAAAAACATAGAAGTACCAAGGAACGATGTCAGGGCTGTGTGGTGAGTGTGGCAAAAGATCCCATTTGAGTTCAATCGGTGAATGAAGACACATGTAGTCCTGCATTATCGCGATGGAATATTACGTTTTTGCACTGGAACTCATTTCAATGTTTTTTCTTCATAGCAGCATCAACATGAATTAGCATCTCATTGTGTTCCTTACTGTCAGGGAGTTTACCTTTTTCAAGATACTCTTTGTGGATAATATCATGGCAATCCTACCAGATACAAAGGATAATGTTTTTGTTAGTCAAATCACACTTTGCGATGCTGACGGCAGGCTCAGAGAATGCCGACCAACTCGTTTTCGGGCTGTGTTGTTGAAGTGAATCCACTTTTCATCACTGACAATCCCGTCCAGAAGTTTGTCCTTGCATTAATATTCGATCAGATTAGTGCAGGCCCAAAAATGTATGTCCTTATTTGCTTGAATCAGCTCATGCGCCACCCAGCAATTCAACTTGTACGTCAAGTTAATGGGATGCATAGCACGACTAATGGACACGGCACTAACGGCTAACACCTTAGAAAGCTCTCGAGTACTGGCATACTGATCTTCTTCCACAAGGTGTCGCAGGCGGGCCTCATCAACATCAGTAGGGCGGTCAGAGCACTTTGCTTCTTGAATGTCATAGTTCTTTTTTAACTTTCAGTATCAAATCTTCACAGTGTTATATGATACAACATTAGTAAAGCTGTTCGCATGATTTGGTCACATTCTGTAGCTTTTCGCAACAGAACTGGAAGTATATGATGGTTCTAATGTAGTAGTGTGATAGTTCCATTTCAGATACCTTGTATTTAATGATAATGACAGTCTTTTACAAATTTCACAACCCAGTATTCTGAAGCAAGTCTCTCTCTTTCAAATGCCAAAAATGGTTTGACAAAATATGATTAAACACGTGAACGCGAACTGTTTGCACAAACGATATTTGCGGTGGCGGGAAACTGTTGTTAAAACCCGATAATAAATGTATAACCCTTCTAAATTATTTTGATGAAGTAGCCCCTTCTATTTATCTGAGGTGCGAATAATTCTGAGAACACTTTTTCCTTTTTTGATCTTCTTATAAAAGTCAATACAGTTTTCATCAAAATTTATTTTGGCGATTCACATACCCTTCAAAGTATTTACTTTAAACTGTCTTATCACTAATCCAAAAACTCTTCATTAGTGCTAAAAAATACTCACCCGGTTGCAGCATTCCTGCCAGGAAGACAGAAGAAAAACCCTGGCAATTTAAAAACATTTGAACAATAACCTGGTTCCTATTAAATAATGCAGTTATTACCATCCACTGGGCACATATTATTTTTTTACCATTCCAATATTTTTCTTCCGTGATATATTGTTTAAAGTAAACATATTCCTCATATATATCAATATCCAATAATTTATGATTTTTTATCATTTGATTAATTAACAAAAAAGTCTGTTTCACTTGACTCCAAGTTTCCATCTCCTGATACATTTTTTGTCCATTTCTCCAAATAAGTGAGAACAGTCTGATAAAACAAAATGTAGCTTTCTTCTTTCTTTTCTTTTTCACTTTTTTTTAAACATATTACTAAAAAAGGGGGGCAGAAATAAATATTAAATTAAACAGCTGTAAAATGTATTGTTGCCTGCGTACGGGTTCGTTTGAATTGAATGCACAAGTCCGATGAAAAAATGAACAAACTTTATTATTATCACAACAAATAAATCAAAATTCTGAAATTTCCCCAGATATTCGTGCAGTATTACAATATCTCACAGTAGATATCTTTTAACTACTCAAACGTTCAACAACTCAACTTAACTTAATTTAAAACAGCTAAAGAAAGCTAATCCGTGATTTCGCTTCAGTAAACAAGAGCAGTTTTCTAAACAAACTCTTAAAACAACAACAAACTAACTAACAACAGCTAATGAATTGAGAGGTTTTCCTCCTTTTATAAGATTTTAAATCGCGCGCGTGAATTTTCTGGAAATAAAAAAAAAAGAGATATTTATTTATTAAATATTAAATGCGCGTTCTTGTATTTAAT